AAATAAGGGATGATTGAACTATAAAAGTGTTAAATAGAGAAAACAATACTATATATAATTTGATCATTTGATCGAGTATATTAAGTTTATGGTATGATTTAACTACCATTGGTGCTCATTTGATCAAGTATATAAAATAGAGAAAAAAATACATTATTTTTAACTATTTATCATATATGATAATTTTAATTATATTATTGAATACAATTTACAAACAAATTTGTCACCATGACTTTTTGTGTGTTAAATATATTAATTATTTTAATATACTTAGTATTATATATTATAATTATGGTTGTTACCTATTATAGTTAGAGTTATTATTATTTAATATTACCTTATATAATTAGTCATTAATGTGGAGGATTCTAGAATATATTCCTCCACCTATAAATACATACTTTGTATTTCTCTCTTATTCATTCAATCAATAAAACATTCTTTGTTATTTTACATGGTATCGGAGCCTTTGCTCTTGGTGACCTAATAGTTTTTGCTTCCGCCGCCGCCGCCGGTGGTTTGTCCGGCGACGGCGGCCTCACTTTTACTTAAATTGTTCTTCAATTGATCCTAATTCTTTCATAATTCCATCTAGCAAAAAAAATATTTTCAGCCAACCACAACCGTCTGTTTCTTGATCCATCACCGCCCCTTCTTGATTTGAGATGAGATTGTCAGATCAACTTGCTCAGTAGGCATATCTTCAGTTAACAAACACCCCTAGCAACACTTCATTCTTTTCGTTTCTCCTCTGAATTAGTCGTGCACGTCTCTAGTGCACGTCAACCTTCTCCCTCTTTCGACGTCAGCAGCATGAGTCTGTTCGCAGTGACTTTTCTCCTCTCCTCATCAGCGCCATTAGATCTCTTTTCTGGCAATCTTTCTTCTTCTCTTCTGGGTCGGATGCATTCTGTCTACTCAAGTCGAAGATATGCCTCTAGCTTCTGATTACAATTTTGGTCACGATTCAAGTAAAAGTTGGCGTTCAATCTTCACCTCCCAAGGCGTTGGTAGCATGTTAAATATATTAATTATTATAATATATTTAGTATTATATATTATAATTATGGTTGTTACCTATTATAGTTAGAGTTATTATTATATAATATTACCTTATATAATTAGGGGGTGTATTCAATAGGTATTATGTAGGAGTTTTTGTATTTTAAAAATCCATGAGTATTCAATTAGGATTTTTAAAAATCATTTAAAATCTCATGGTATTGATTTTGGATTTTTAAAAGTCAATTAAAATCTCATGGTATTGTTTTAAGATTTTGGAATGTCCTTTTGAATCTAATGGTATTCAACATTCTATAGATTTTCTAAGATTTAGTATTTGATGGATTGTAATGGATTCTAAGGTCATTAGTATAAATAAAAATCTTTCCACAAATCCTCTCTCAAACCTAAAGTTTTGAGAAACTCTATCATTGAACACTTCGCAGGCTGAAATCTCTCACGTCGCTGCTCTGTTTCGGTGGAGTTGCTGCTGAATGGATGATTAGAGATCGTGTCCCTTTATATGCATTTGTTGGAGAATTTCAGCCATGGGAGTGGTCTCCTCTCTTACGATTTGGTTGCTTTTGTTGGGGAATTCCAGATCGCGTCCCTTTAAATGCATTTGTTGGAGTTTTATTTTTAAAAATCTGCCAAATTAGGGTTATCCATCTCAAATGTGTTTGATGTGTTTCTTTGCTTCATTCTCATTTTATTTCATTGGTAAATCGTGAGAGCACTTATCTATTTGTAATTAATATTTTAATTATTATAATCAATTTTTAATCAATTATTGATTTAAAACAATCTATAGACTTTTTGGAATCCAAACAAATCTGAATAATAAAATACAATAATATCTGTCCAACTCCATGTAGAATTAAAACAATCCCTAGATTTTATGGAATCCATGGATTATGAAAAATCTTACACAATTTTAAAAAGCCTGAATTGAATACACCCCCCTTAGTCATTAATGTGGAGGATTATAGAATATATTCCTCCACCTATAAATACATACTTTGTATTTCTCTCTTATTCATTCAATCAATAAAACGTTCTTTGTTATTTTACATTATGTTTACACAAGCATTCCTTAGTGTTTCACCATCATTGACAAATTTTAAATATGGATTAGAGATTTTCATTTTTATTAGAGTATTCTTTCTTAATATTATATTTTTTTACTTCATTTATAATAATACTTTGAGTAAGTTTCATATTTTTTATGATATGCTGAAATGAAGATAGTTTTTACTCTATTTATTTAAACATTGATGTAAAATAAAAAATATATTTTTAATCTCTATTTTAAAATTATATAAAAAAATAATGCTTTGACTACTATCTAAAATAATCAAGTATTTAAATCAAATAAATATTTATATGAATTTTGTGAAAGCCTCTAATCGAATACCGACAAGAGTATGATCATTTGGCGGAATATGCAATAGACCTAGTAAACACTACCACAAGAAGATGTGAAAGCTTTGTTGAAGGTCTAGATTATGATCTAGGATTAGCTGTTGCTACAATTGACTATATTACCATCAACGCAGTATATGCAAAGGTGGAGCGAGCTGAGGAAAGAATAGCGGCGAAGAAGGCTTTAGAAAAGAAGATATCTTTTGAAATGTCATCTCGATCATTCACACCTCTTGAATCTTTTGAGGAAATAAACTTTTCTAGAAACATAGATTTTCCACAAAATAAAAAGACCAAGACCACATCTAGTGTTGTGGTTAGTAGTCCATCTTATACTTATCCACTATGTCACCCTGGAGAATGTTGGTATGTTACGGAAGCATGTTTGGGATGTGGTCAAAAGGGTCATTTCAAGCAAAACTGTCCAATCAACCCATCGGTAGCAACACCAAAAACCATGATGACATTTGTCAACCAATCCAATAGAGACAAAGGAAAGCAAAAGGTCCATGACACTACCAACCAAAAAACAAGACTAGCACCTACACGGACATACCAATGAAAACACGAGAAGACGTCCCCCCAGATGACGTCATTGGTGGTATGTTTACTTTATGTGATTCTAAAATAAATACCCTTCGACATATACCCGCATTGTTTCTATGTTACATAGTAAGAAAAAATTTCGAGGACGAAATTTCTTAAGTAGGGGAGAATTGTAACGCCCCGAAAACTAGTCTAGATATATTGATGAAATAATTGGACCAGTTCAGAGTAAAATATATATACATATAATAATAATATAGAAAGAGAGAGAGTTAATTGAGATAAGTAACTAATTGGGGAGTAATTAAGTGAAACCTATCTAGTAACACACGTGGCTTTAATAAAATGGGGATTAGTGGCAAATAGCACAGTAAAATCGCCATACGCAAAACTTAGTTACTAAGAATTTTACACTATAAATACATTGCTTTAGGCATTGAGTTTACTTACTTTTATTTTAGAAATAATACAAAGCCTTGGGTATTAATAACCGTAGTAATATATAATAATAACAAGAAATAGGAGAAGGGAGACCAACCGACATTCCTCGAGGCTACACCGGAAGAAGGAAGGAAACCGCCGGTGTTTAAAGACCGCTGTTAAAATTCCGGCGGGCCGATAACAACGGATAGAGTGTCGGGTAAAATTAACCACTTGCATATAAAGTCGGGATCCACAATTCTAACCCAAAAGCTTAAGCTCATAGGTAGGGCTTCACCCTTCAATATATGCAAGTGATACTCATCTTTATTTTCTGATGTGGGAACTCCAACACTCCCCCGCAAGTGGTAACTAGCCTGGCCTAGTTAGCACTTGGACAAACGGGTCTAGCATCTCAATCTCTTATAGCTAGCCCACACAACGGGCGGTGGCATCTCAATCTCTTTTTAGCCAACTCAGCCCAAAACACAGACGGGGTAGCTCATTTTTGCTAAACCCACATCCAAACAACCAGGAACAATCAAACCCGGACCGGACCTGCTCCGATACCATGTTAAAATTCCGGCGGGCCGATAACAACGGATAGAGTGTCGGGTAAAATTAACCACTTGCATATAAAGTCAGGATCCACAATTCTAACCCAAAAGCTTAAGCTCATATGTAGGGCTTCACCCTTCAATATATGCAAGTGATACTCATCTTTATTTTCTGATGTGGGAACTCCAACAACCGCCGTCCCATCGTCATAACAAGATCATTTTGGACGTTAAGGTGAGTTACCGCCGCCCGTATAACTTTAGAGACATTATATAATATGTTAAGATATATACTATAAAAGCTTATATTCGGTGTTTAAAAACTTCCGCCGCCGGAGTTCGAAAAAGAAATAGCGTCATAGTATCTTCGACATGTTTTACGTCCAAAATACTTTAAATCGATTACGAAAGAATATATAAAGGTCATAATAAGTGTTAGACAAGAAAAAACGAAGTTTTAAATAAAATCCTCCGACGACCCAACGAAGAAGATGACCAGAAATTGGGTCTCGTTGGCGGCATACTTTTTCTACAAACTCTTACGTCCAAACCATTTTTTTATATATATCATAAGAAGTATTATGATAAATTTTGTAAGAAAAATGAGGTTTTAAACGTAGAAATATAGGCGTCTCGTTGTAGAAGACAACCGGAATCCAGCCAACCTCCGGCGACGATTTAACCTATAGTTCCACGAAGAAATCATAATAAACTGACCGTAATGTATTCCTAATGATCTCTTAACTGAGGAAAACGAAATTTCAAAATAATAATGGTGGTGACACGTAGGGGGTGACTTCGCCGGAAAATATTGCCGACTACGTCGCCGGAATATTTGCTGATTCCGCACCCAGTACTGAAGCACCCTTTACACATATTAATATACAAGTACCTATATCAATGATGTTATGTTCTTTTTTTTAAAATAAAAAGGGTAGTATATATATACGTACTTACTAGTATATTTTAAGTAAAAAGGGTTTTTAACTTCTAAGAAGCAAATAGATAATAAGTAAATAAACAATATATAGTTATATGTATATGTACGTATATGCCTAATACACATGCTAAGGTACGGTTTTGTTTTAAATAAAAATAATATTGAGTTACATGAGATATACATTCAAAAATGCATTTCCCAAAACAGAATTAATAATGATTTCTGATATGTGAACTACGATTCACAAGTTCCAAAGGGTTAACCAGTACCCCTCTATTTGCCGTACGTACGAGCTCGTCATAATGGACTCGTCTTGTACCCAAAGTACTTGAAGTCCCAGAAAGAGATAATGGACTCGTCTTGTACCCGAAGTACTTGAAGTCCTAGTTAAACAAAGAGTAAAAGAAAAGTTGATTTTCTTGATACTACAGTTTTATACAATTATATTTTTATATTATCAAAGTAAAGAATTTTGAGAAAAGTATATGTCTACGCTATTATATTTCGTACCTATTGTTATAATTGGTACCACTCAGCTTTTGCTGATCGGGTTGGCTCCATTTTTTTTAGGTACACAAACAGAATAGTGACCAAACCGGAGGACGATGCTAAGCCGATGGAAGGATGGACGAGATGATATAAAGAAAAATGATAATAATAAAGATGTTATTTTGAAATGAATATTTTGTACGAATATGTTAAGCTTCCACATGTATAATAGTTACTCTGATATTATCAACAAATAAATAAGTTTTGCTTAATGCTCCATTTTACGATTCAAAAAGGTTAGACCCGTTAACACCGCGAGTCAGATATTCGAATAAATTTGGGTATCCGGGTCGTGGCGTTACAATTTGTAACACCCCGGCCCCCACCCTAGCCGTAAGTGTGCGCTCATAAGATTGTAGACTGGCCCCACAAACCAACACAAGTCTTTCCCGCACACTTTGTCCTCACTCGTGCGCGCCCAAGGAAACTTCCCAGGGGGTCACCCATCCTAGAATTGCTCCAAGTCAAGCACGCTTAACTTTAGAGTTTCTAAGTGATGAGCTCTCGAAAAGAAGATGCACCTTGTTGGTATGAGTAGTATTATCAATCCTTTTGAGCTCTTACCATTCCCATCTTGATACGGGGTATTACATTCACCCCCACTTAGGAATGCAACGTCCTCGTTGCATCCATGCATTTTTTGAATGTAATACCCCGTATCAAGATGGGAATAGGAAGAGCTCAAAAGGATTGATAGTAATACTCATACCAACAAGGTGCATCTTCTTTTCGAGAGCTCATCACCAAGAAATTCCAAGGTTAAGTGTGCTTGACCTGGACAATTCTAGGATGGGTGACCCCCTGGGAAGTTACAAAGTGTGCGGGAAAGACTTGTGTTGGTTTGTGGGGACAGTCTACAATCCTTTGAGCGGACACTTACGGCTAGGGTGGGGGCCGGGGTGTTACAAATGGTATCAGAGCAACCCTCCGACCGTGACGGGCCAAAAGAGCTTAGTTCACCTAGGGGGGAAGACCTAGGGGTTTAAAAAAAAGAAAAAAGGATGCAACGAGGACGTTGCATTCCTAAGTGGGGGTGAATGTAATACCCCGTATTAAGATGAGAATGGGAAGAGCTCAAAAAGGATTGGTAGTAGTACCAACCGGCGAGGTGAAAGAACGAATCCTTCGAGAAGCTCACGAGGCAGGTTATGTGATGCATCCCGGTAGTAACAAAATGTTCCAAGATCTGCGAGTTAAATTTTGGTGTCCATCAATGAAGAAAGAGATCACTGAATTCACTTCCCGATGTTTGACTTGTCAACAAGTGAAGGCAGAACATCAAGTCCCAACAGGTTTACTACAACCCATGAAGATACCGGAATGGAAGTGGGACCGAATCACAATGGATTTTGTGACTGGGTTGCCGCTCACGCCAAAGAAGAATGACGCAGTATGGGTAATAGTAGATCGACTAACCAAATCAACTCACTTTCTGCCGATAAGACGAGATTTCACACTTAAGAGACTGGCAGAATTATACATCCAAGAGATTGTGAGGTTACATGGAGTCCCCGTATCTATCATCTCGGATAGAGATCCTCGATTCACATCTCAATTTTGGAAAAGCTTACAACAGGTACTCGGAACAAAACTACACTTTAGTACGGCTTTTCATCCACAGACAGATGGACAGTCAGAAAGAGTTATCCAGATACTTGAAGATATGATGAGGAGCTGTGTTCTAGAATTAGAAGGGAATTGGGAGAGATACTTGCCGCTAGTCCCAACAAGTTTACTACAACCCATGAAGATACCGGAATGGAAGTGGGACCGAATCACAATGGATTTTGTGACTGGGTTGTCGCTCACGCCAAAGAAGAATGACGCAGTATGGGTAATAGTAGATCGACTAACCAAATCAACTCACTTTCTGCCGATAAGACGAGATTTCACACTTAAGAGACTGGCAGAATTATACATCCAAGAGATTGTGAGGTTACATGGAGTCCCGTATCTATCATCTCGGATAGAGATCCTCGATTCACATCACAATTTTGGAAAAGCTTACAACAGGTACTCGGAACAAAATTACACTTTAGTACGGCTTTTCATCCACAGACAGATGGACAGTCCGAAAGAGTTATCCAGATACTTGAAGATATGATGAGGAGCTGTGTTCTAGAATTAGAAGGGAATTGGGAGAGATACTTGCCGCTCATGGAATTCGCATACAATAATAGTTACCAGGCAAGTATACAAATTAAATGGCTCCTTATGAAGCTCTTTATGGGAGAAAGTGCAGAACACCTCTATGTTGGATGGAACTCAGTGAAAACAAGCTTGTGGGACCTGATCTTGTCAGTGATGCAGAAGAAAAGGTAAAGTTAATCAAAGAACGATTACGGATCGGGGAAAAAGTGTTACGTTTCGGGAAGAAGGGAAAACTGTCACCTAGATTTATTGGTCCCTATGAAATTACTGAACGTATAGGACCAGTAGCATACCGGCTAGCCTTGCCACCAGAGTTGAGCAAAATCCATAATGTATTCCACGTATCTATGCTCAGACGATATAGGTCGGACCCCACTCACATAATCCAGTCAGGCACGGTAGAATTGGATGACAAGTTATCCTATGAAGAAGAGCCGGTACAGATTTTATCCCGAGAAACTAAAGTGCTTAGAAACAAGACGGTGCCGTTGGTAAAAGTACTATGGCGAAATCACAGTTCCGAAGAAGCTACCTGGGAAACAGAGGAATCAATGCGTGTGTTGTACCCTCAACTTTTTCCTACTGCAGAATAAGGTAAATTTCGAGGACAAAATTTCCTAAGTAGGGAAGAATTGTAACGCCTAAAAATATATATAAATATATATAATAGAATTTAATTAATGATTAGATTGAGTTAGGGAATAATAATAATAATAAGGAAAAGTAGTAATAATAAGTCATAAAAAAAATAATAATAATAGTTGGATTTAGCTCTTAGCTTAGCCCACTATAGCCTAAGGGTAGGATTGCTTAGTAAGTACCTCATGCATAGCCACGCAGGAGCTTGAGTTAATGCATCTCATGATTATCTACCCAAACCTTAGCCATTAAGTTTAAAAAAAAATAAAGAAGAAGAAAAGTAGTATAAATAGAAGCCAAAGCGAACTAGGAAGGAACATTAAAAAAAATATTAGTTGTAAGAAATCTCCCACCATTATAGCATTAAACTAAGAACACCGAAGTATAACGGAGGTCCGTCGAAATTGTCAAACACTCCCTCGTACGTTGGAAATTCTCGATTTTAATTCAAGGTGAGTACCGCCGCCCGTATAACTTTAGAGACATTGTATAATACGTTAATATATACTATAAAAGTTTATATTCGTTTTTTTTACTCCCGTTGCTGAAGTTCGGGAAAAATAGCGGCATAGTATCTTCGACATGTTTTACATCCAAAACACTTTAAATTGATTACTAAAGGATATATAAAGGTCATAATAAGTATTAGACGAAGAAAACCAGAGTTTTAAATGAACACCATCGACTATCCGACGAAGAAGATGACCGGAAAATGGGTCTCCTTGGCAGCAAACAATTTCTATAAATTTCTACGTCCAAACTGTTCCTTTATGATTGATAACAAGTATTTTTGTGAAAATAGGAAGAAAGAACGAAGTATATGATGATAAAACGAAGGTATCTCGTCGAGGAAGATGACCGGAATCCGGCCAACCTCCGGCGACGAGGTTCTTCGCCTTTTATACGTCCAAACTATTTCCTTTTATTTCTAAGAGGGTTTTTAACAAGTTTTAAGTAAATAAAATGGAAGGTTTTGAAGTAAGCCATGATTAAAGTTTGGGGACCAAGTTTGCCGGAAAAATCGCCGGCAACATCGCCGGAGAATCCTTTGATCCGAACCAGAGCCCAACCTTCCTTTCAAATGCCCTTTTTTTCAAATTTAAGTTTATAGGTGTATGATCGCATAATGATTCTATGCCTAAGAATAAAAATATCTGTATTTTATATTCATGTGTATATATATGTACTCACTAGTATATTTTAAGTAACAAGGGTTCTGACTTCTAAGAAGCAAATAAATAATAAGTAGATGAACAATATATATTTATATGTACATATACGTATATGCCTAATACATATGCTAAAGTATAGTTTTGTTTTAAATAAAAATAATATTGAGTTACATGAGATTGCATTCAAAAATATATTTCCCCAAAACAGAATTAATAATGATTTCTGATATCTGAACTATGGTTCACAAGTTCCAAAGGGTTAACCAGTACCCCTCCATTGCCGTACGTACGAGCCCGTAATAATGGACTCGTCTTCTACCCAAAGTACTTGAAGTCCCAGAAAGAGATAACGGACTCGTCTTGTACCCAAAGTACTTGAAGTCCCAGAAAGAGATAACGGACTCGTCTTGTACCCGAAGTACTTGAAGTCCTAGTTAAATAAGAGTAAAAGAAAAACTGATCTTTTTGATACTACAGTTTTATAAAACAAATGTGTTTAATTTATTACTCTAAGAATTTTTAGAAAAGTTTATATTCACGTTATTATATTTTGAACCTACTGTTATAACTGGTACCACTCAGCTTTTGCTGATCGGGTTGGCTCCATTTTTTTAGGTACACAGTCAGGAAATGACAACCTTGCCGGAGGACAGTACTAATGTGGAGGGCATTGGACGAGTGGGTCAAAATGATATTATCGATATTTAAATAAGTCATGTTATGACAATTTAATAATGTTTTAATACTTTCAAGTTTTATTGATTCCGCATGTAACATATTACTCCGTCTTGTTTAATAAATAAATAAGTTTTCTTTAATGCTCCTTTTTCCAATTTTTTTAAAAAAACTAGACCCGTTAACACTGCGACTCGAATATTCGAATAAATTTGAGTATTCGGGTTGTGGCATTACAAATGGTATCAAAGCAACCCTGCGACCGTGCCAGAAGAGCCTAGTTCACCTAGCGGGGAAGATCTAAGGGTTTAAAAAAAGGATGCAACGAGGACGTTGCATTCCTAAGTGGGGGTGAATGTAATACCCCGTATCAAGATGGGAATGGGAAGAGCTCAAAAGGATTGATAGTACTACTCATACCAATAAGGTGCATCTTCTTTTCGAGAGCTCATCACCTAGAAACTCCAAAGTTAAGCGTGCTTGACCTGGAGCAATTCTAGGATGGGTGACCCCCTGGGTAGTTTTCCTTGGGCGCGCACGAGTGAGGACAAAGTGTGCGGGAAAGACTTGAGTTGGTTTGTGGGGCCAGTCTACAATCCTATGAGCGAATAGTTACGGATAGGGTGGGGGTCAGGGTGTTACAAATGGTATCAGAGCAACCCTGCGACCGTGACAAGCCAAAAGAGCTTAGTTCACCTAGCGGGGAAGATTTATGGGTTCAAAAAAAAGGATGCGACGAGGACGTTGCATTCCTAAGTGGGGGTGAATGTAATACCCCGTATCAAGATGGGAATGGGAAGCGCTCAAAAGGATTGATAGTACTACTCATACCAACAAGGTGCATCTTCTTTTCGAGAGCTCATCACCTAAAAACTCCAAAGTTAAGTGTGCTTGACCTGGAGCAATTCTAGGATGGGTGATCCCCTGGGTAGTTTTCCTTGGGCGCGCACGAGTGAGGACAAAGTGTGCGGGAAAGACTTGTGTTGGTTTGTGGGGCCAGTCTACAATCCTATGAGCGAACACTTACGGCTAGGGTGGGGTCGGGGTGTTACAGAAGATGTGTGTAAAGACAATAAATAAAGCAAGAAAAAGTATGGAGAAGATCCAAGGTGCAAAAACGAATAAGATCAAAACTTGGATACAAAGCATATCAAAGATAATATAATTTCCAATTTGCAACTATTTATATTTTGTTAGAACATTTTGTATTGATCAGAATGCTACTATGCATTTGAATGATTTTGCATTTTAAAGCAAAAAATAATAAAAAGAATAAAAAATAGTAATTTTTTTTGTAAATTTCCCTTCAGAAATCAACCAAAAATAGAAGTAAAAAATATTACAAAACAAAAGTCACATGTTTTTATCTACAAAATAGTACTATTGCAATATAATGTGACACTGTATATTGACATTTCATTGTAATTTTTGTATTATATGATGGTCTTATTGATATTATAGTTCTTATTTTGCAGATAAAACATAAGATTCTATTTTGGTTATTTTCTTATATTTTATTTATATTTTAATCTTTCTCTTTTTCCCTTCAGAATCATTGTAGCACTACTTTTTTATTAATATTTTTTTTCTCCAAAATTGATGCGGGGTAGAAGAATTGTTGTGTTTTAATTTTTTTCAAATGAATATTTTCAATAGTTGAGTCATAGGGTCGCTAATCTAATATTTCATTTTTAAATAATGCAGTAGAGATGAATCATTTTTTGTATTCAATCCAGAGGTGGGGGGAATCATTTTTTCGCTAATCTCAATTAATGTGGGGGAGAAAAATCATGTTTTTTAATTGTAGAATCATAAGATCGGTAATTCAAGCTTTTTAAAATGTATGCTAGGGAAAAGTTCATAGAATCACTACCATTTTCTGTATTTTTTTAATTTATACGGGAATAAAAATTATAGATTTATATAAATTCAATAAACCTAGATCATTTATATTTGATGTCTAAATGATATGTTGCATAAAAAACAAAGTCATTTTAATATTTTATATTGTAGAATCACAAACAATTTAGTACCATCCCGTGCATGACACGGGTTAAAATACTAGTCGATGATAAATACTCCATTGTTCTTAATGTGATACTACTTCGATCAATTTTATTCGAAAGGTAAAATAATTTCAGGTTGTCATTGGAATACTTTGAATCTAACATCACTCCATTGTTACAATTCTCGTACGGATTACAACGGACGAAGAAGATGAACGGCCCCGAAAATAAAAAATTAAATAAAATTTTGAATTTATAATTTATTCAGAATATTACAAAATAAACAAAGTTGGAAAATAAATTTCAATATCTTCAAACAGCCTTGTTCTACGAGGACATTAAGCACTGGACAGCGAGGACATTAAGCACAGGGCTGCGAGGACATTATGCACTAGGACAGAATGCAGCGAGGTCTTTATGAACTAATCTTGCAAACATAACACCACGGAAGGACAGCGGAGTCGCCGGAGCTGTCCTTAAGGTAGCAGTGCCCGCCTACCGTACTGAAAAAACGTGGGCACTCTCCTCTCAGGATAAAACCGCTATCGTGTGTGGAGATTGTACGGACCAACCACACACCAACGAACAAGAACAATGTAGGAACGTTGGCGACCAAAAAACTTTAAAGGGGATGGCTGGTAAATCAAGAGCTCTCTCTAAATATTAAAACAAGAATGTTTTCCCTTTCTTTTTCTTTCTTTCTCACGTAAGGCACACAAGAAAAAATGGAGAGCCATTTATTTGTTTTTATAACTAAGGAGTTTAAAAAGTGTAACTTCTACACCATTAACCCTTAGTATTAATCATGGCATTTGTGGCACACTAATGGCGTGTTAATGGTGATTAATTAGCCATTAACACGTCTGTTACGCTACGCTTCGTTTAAAATTTATCCCGAATAATTAGAGATTAATGGCCAGTTAAATCCGTAAAAATGGACTAATTTTAAACAATACGTAAAATTAATAATAGAAGATTGGTTTAGTAAAATTGCAAAAAAATGCAATCCTTACCATATTCTTCTATTAATGGGTTAACTCTGAGAATCAATTTCTCATTCACCCTCTACCATTTTTGGCGTATAAATTTATCAAAACATTTATCTCATTTAAGAGAACACACGTCCATTAATTAACAGTTAAAAACCGTTAGTGGACCTATTGACAAATATACCCAAGTTGGTCCATTTAATGCCTATTAAAAATGCCAAAAATTCCAACAATCCCCCACATGAATGAAAAATTGATTTGGGGGTCGACAACATCCCACGGTTGAAAATCTGCAAACAACAGGTAAGTGTCTCCACTTTTGAACATGTCCCTTGTAAAGTATACCTTCTTTAATTGCTGTTCAGTAGAACGCGATGTCTTTGAACTGTACTGCCGTTTGTGTAAACGATAATATATCATACACAGATTCCAACCAAACGTCGTTCTGTTCTCATGGTTGTGCCCATTTTGGTCGTGCGACACATGCTTGGTTCTGCGAGAGTGTTTAGAGGATTAAGCCCAAGATCCTCTGTTTGAAGCGACCACACTTCATTCTTACTTAAGTGATTCTTTAAGAGTATCCCGATTACCCCGCTTAGACCACCGTGTCTATTGGTTAAGAATCATTAAAGCATATTTATATGCTAACCTCATCATTTTCGGGAGTCGCTGTCTTCAGCAGGAACAGAAGGGACTGACCGGAGGTTCCGGTACTGCCCCCGCAGTGACCACGCTTCATCCTACAAGTAGGTTGTCCCATTGAACCTGGGCAGGTTGGATTTTCCTTCATAGGACTGTCCTAGCACAAGCACTTCAAACCCATTCCTGCCACCAACTTCTCATGCAACTCATTTGTTAACCCTTTGGTTAGCGGATCCGCCAGATTATCTTTTGACTTCACATAGTCAATTATGATAATCCCAAGTGTGAGAAGTTGTCTAATGGTTTTGTGTCTACGACGAATATGTCTAGACTTACCATTATACATATTACTCTTTGCACGTCCTATTGCAGATTGACAATCACAATAGATGCAAACTGGTGGGACCGGTTTATCCCATCTTCGAATGTCCTCTAGAAAGTGGCATAGCCATTCAGCTTCCTCACCACATTTGTCTAAAGCTATAAACTCAGATTTCATTGTGGACCTAGAAATCACTGTTTGCTTTGAGGATTTCCAAGATATTGCTGCACCCGCTAGCGTAAAGACATACCCACTTGTGGACTTCAAGTCTTTACTATCAGATATCCAATTCGCATCTGAGTATCCTTCCAGTACTGGTGGATATCTCGAGTAGCATAATCCATAGTCATGTGTATACCGCAGGTATCTCATCACACGTACAATAGCCTTCCAGTGCTCATCACTCGGATTGCTGGTGTATTTACTCAGCTTACTTATGGCACAGGCTAAATCTGGTCGAGTGCAACTCATTAGATATATCAAACTTCCAATAACTCTCGCATACTCGATTAGAGAGTTACTGGAACCTCGGTTTTTAGCCAGGTGTGCGTTGACGTCTAACGGCGTCTTTGCTACTCTAACGTCATCCTTGTTGAACTTGTCAAGGATTTTATCAATGTAATAGGATTGGCTCAGTGCTAGACCCCCAGGTCTTCTCACAATTTTAATTCCAAGAATTACTTCAGCCAGACCCATATCTTTCATGTCAAATCGCGAGTTTAACATGTCTTTGGTAAACTTGACCATCTTGTCATCGCTACCAACTATGAGTATGTCATCTACATATAAACACAACATGACATACCCTTGGGATGTGTTTTTAGATAAACACACTTGTCTGATTCATTAATTTTGAAGCTAGAGTTCATCATTACCTGGTCAAACTTCTCATGCCATACTTTTGGCGCCTGTTTAAGACCATATAATGACTTAACAAGTTTACACACTTTCCTTTCTTGACCAGGAATTATAAACCCTTCTGGTTGTTTCATGTAGATCTCTTCTTCTAGATCTCCATTAAGGAAAGCTGTCTTCACATCCATTTGATGAACTTCTAAGTTCCGCAAGGAAGCTATTGCAAGTATCATCCTAATGGAATTTATCCTTGACACAGGGGCATATGTATCAAAATAATCAAAGCCCTCACGTTGATTGTAACCCTTAATTACAAGTCTGGCTTTGTACTTATCAATGGAACCATCTGGTTTCATTTTCCTCTGAAAGATCCACTTAGAACCTAACGGTTTGCATCCAGGAGGTAGATTCACTAACTCCCAAGTGTGATTCTGCATAATAGAATCAACTTCACTTTTAATTGCCTCTTTCCACTGAGGGCCTTCAGATGAAGTCACTGCTTCATGATAAGTTCCTGGTTCATTTTCTAATACACATGTTAGAATATCGGGTTCAGTCTCTATAAGAAATGATAGAGTCCTCGATTCAAATTCCAACAAATAAGTTAGAGAATCATTACCAAAGAACTTCTTAGTCCGTGTCCTTTTACTTCGTCTTAGTTCAGTCTCAGTTTCAGTTTCATCAATTATACCGGTATTAGACTGATCTGAGGAACCATCATTCAACATTTCATCATGTGAACGTTTGGACGAACTTGCTTCTTCCCTCGGCTTTAACGGAAATATATTTTCGAAGAATGTTGCGATTCCATTATCGTGTTCTTATGTATTTCTGGATTATCAGACCTATACACTAAGGGGCTGTTTGGCAACTTCTGAATCGGTAAGTGCTGAACCAGTAAGATGTCTGAACCATTAAGTGCTGAACCAGTAAAAAGTCTGAACCATTAAGAGCTAGTATATTGCTTAACTATTCAGAGGCAAATGTCTGATCAATTCAGATAAGAGGTCTCTTAGTCATTCAGACATCTGAACCATTAAGAGGCTGAAACAAACAGTCTAAACCATTAAGTGCTGAACCATTCAGACATCTGAACCATTAAGAGGCTGAAACAAACAGCCCTAAGAATCAATACGCGCTACCACTGTAGCCAATAATTATTCCAAAAAAGAAAGTTAATTAATTTTTTTAATAAATTAATTATAAATGAAATAATGGAGGAAGAGATCGAAAATAATGGAAATAATGGAAACCGACCTTTCTACGTTATCGGGTTTCAAACGTATGATCTCCGAGAGAAGACAAAAAGAGATCAAGGCCAAATATAATTTACCTTAGTTTTTTTATTAATGTATTTTTTTATTATTGTCGCTTTCTTTTTTTAATTTAATGAATGTAATTATTTTAAAATTATTGTCACTTCAATTTCTTTTAATTTAATGAATTTAATTTTTTTTAATTATTCTTGTTTCAATATAATTAAATAATAAAATAATTAAATTTTATTAATTTAGTTTTAGAAGATGTATATTTAAAAATGGAAAAATGAAGGTTTAGCCTCTGTTTGAAGCCACAGGGCTTCAAACCCATTTCCACTGAATCTGTGAGGTAAGTTAAAGTGACGTGGCAGAGAGAAATTTTGAAACTCCGATTTGAAGCCACGGGGCTTCACGAGTATTTCTAGTGCTCTTATGCATTCCAATTTTATCAATATGCCCTCCAATTCCTAATTTCATACGCAAGATCAATTGTTTCCTTTTAAATGCATTTCTCATTATCACTTTAGTATGCACACCTGTGCGACTAATAACCATCAGATACATCTCATGGCACGGTTTTCCTTCCATCTTATTTCTTTCACTATAAAGGTATTTCTCACAAGATTTGGCTCATATATATATGGGCACGGTTTAGGTGAGAATAGTTCTCACTTCTTGTTGCGAGAAATGAGAATGGTAAATTTTCATGCCACCATGATGCTTTTTGTACTTGTAGTAGTGCATTTCAACAGTGGCAAAAAAGTTTGATTTCTCACCAATGCATCGTTACTTTGATGGTTCACACTAACACAAAATACTAGTGCAAAATTTTTGGATCGCACAAGCTTTTTGTACAAATCTGAACCAACATCAAAATGACAGTAGTGTACAAAATGGAGTCCACTCTTTAGCGTAGAAGTGACATGGTTCTTCCTAAAATCCCTTGACTGGTCCCGTGCTTTTAAGCATTTAAAGAACCAATTATGTCGTTGATGTTCAATCAAGAGTACAAGATTAAAAAAAAAGTACAGGATTAAAATGAAGAATAATCTCAAAATTAATCGCGTGAAAACAGATAAATTAATCAATGCAAGCAACAGAACTGAGATTCAAAGATAGCAGAGGAACAAGTGCAGAATATGCATCAAAAAACCCTGATAAGCATTGGAACCCATACCGATAAAACCCAAATAAACTTTATTATCCGGAAAAATGTACATGAAGGGGATTAGGTGAATACATGTTCTTCAGAATTTGGGAGGGAAACAAGAGGAGTAAATGGCTTTCACTTGTTAAAGAATGTAGGCGAATTTTTTCCTGCAAACGACCCTTCAAGGCTGAGGGTATATCCAGAAATTATTGCTATGTCCAGAAGCCAATAGATGAAAATGGGTTTTAAACCTGTCTTTCATATCCATATTCACATCCTTGTAACTCAAACATATTGGATGTGAAGATACACACATAGAAATCAAATCGCGATCAATTAGAGTTGAATTCACCAGCTGACAATTTTTCATCCTCAGAAGCACGTTGACAACAAGATTCCATCCAGCGGGGATTTCATTGAGAGCAATGCAGGTTCAGCGAAACCCAAGACCGATGGATTAATCATACTTCTCCCTCCAAGAGTACACGAGGAAGAAAATCCAAGAGAGACCCAAGGCAAGATCACCAACTACCAGCCTCAGCCAATCGCGGCCAAGGCCCTCAACCTTCCTCTCAAAGTAGATTCTCCAAACCGCCATGGATACATGGAGAAGCACACACCCTTTAGCAAAGAAGCTATGGAAATCCCTATCCCTTACAAATGCAACCATGAACAAGAGAAATCCGATTGCAAACAAGAGCAATCCCGAAAATGAATCCGATGTTTGGATTATCAGCTGATCATGAGGTGTTGATCCTAAAAGCTTGCTGGCACGCTCTCTGCCATGGCTAAACACAAGCAGATCATTGCTGTAGAACATCATCAAAGCTCCGCAGCTTATGGCCACCAAAGAATGAAGCATACAGAGAAGGAAAAACCCAGATGAGCTCATTGATTGTCTCGTTTTCCAGACCAAAGCTTCAGCTTTTGACTGCAAATATTAAAACCCTTTCAAATCCCAGTGTTTTTAAAATAGCCCAAATAAGTTCTCGAATAAATAAAAAGCTGAATGCCGTCACATACAGATGAAAACACATAACCCACCTTCAATCTCCTTTAAACTCATTTCATGGATGACCAAGAAAGAAGACTGTATGAAAGCAAAATATCATATTCCAAAATCCTACAAGTTTGGTTTTTCGAGACAAGATACTTGACTGCAATTCAGCTCAGACAATAAGTAACTCAAGAAACAAATTGAACTCTCAGAAATTATGATAATTGGTAAGATAGTCCCTCTCAGCTGCAAATATACGACCTTTTAGATCCAGAAATTAACTTCCAAAAATGTACTAGAAACACATAATATAGGGCACAAAGAGTCCCAAGAAATTACTTGCTGTTGCAACTAAGACAAGAGAATCATCAGATCCAAAATCCCAAAACTCTGTAAGTGATGTTATGAAGGATTGAGCGAAGAATCTGAAAGCGGTTCATCGGGAGTACCAAGAGTCAAGACATCAAGATATCCTGGGGCCGGGAAAGTGAGGTCGGTCCTCGTAATTCATTGTCGATCGAATTGTAACGTTTTGGAACAACCTCAAAAAGGGAAATATAAATCACTCCTTAAATTTTTTGGAAAAATTACATATTTCCTAGTTCCTCTCTTCCAAGTTATTTACAACATTTCGAAAGAGGTATAAAATATCATTTTTTTAAAATTTATTTTATTTATAAATTGATAGAGAAATAAAAAAATAAAAACTAGACCGTTGAAAAGTACATCAAAAATCTATATTTTATTTTAAAAGACATGGAGTCAACATATGGTTTTCCCGCCCAAAGAGTATGACAATTAGAAATGGCAATTGTGAAGTTAAAATGGTAATTGGCCGAAATTATAGTAATAATTATTATAATTATTATATTTATAATAATTAAAGAAAGGTAAGTTAAAATGGCGGAAAGGTAAGTTAATTATTGTGAAGTTAAAATTAATATTACTTTTTACACACAATGCCTTTAAAAACGTGATATTATTAATCTAAAAAATTATTATTATTATTAAAAAATGGTTTAAAAGCTAAAATAAATACAGTTCCTTTTTTATCACACGGTGTTAACCAATTTCCTTTTTAAAACGAACAGTTTTAACACGTAATCATTTTAAAAAAGGAACAACGATAATATGACACAATTTATAATTGGTAATTAATACTACCTCCGTCCCACTCTCTTTGTCCACTTTTGACTTTTGGAACTATTCATCTAAGCACTTTGACTCATCAAATTCTCTCAATGTGTAAGCCTAAATATAGTCATGTGTGATCTTGTTTGATTTGTCTTAACATATAAATTATTAATATATAATTTCTATAATTTTTTATTATACAAATTTTAAGATAAAATGGATTAAAGAAGTGCATTGGATAGTGTGTAAAAATGAAAGTGGACAAATACTCTGGGACGGAGGGAGTATTAACTGAACGGATTTTTACTAATCAAGGTAATTCTAAATTCTCAATAATAACGATGCCACGGAATATTATATAAAAGGAAATATAATTTTTTAAAAAAGGAATATTACTTTTAAAACACAATGCTTTCAATTCGTATGGAGTGTACTAATTATTTTGGGTATAAATAAGTATTATGAGTACTGATTGAAAACCTCTGGAATTTTTGCAAGAATAAGTAACTATCATTTTTAACCTTTTTTGTGCAAGCGTGAAGTTAATATAGCTGTTATTTATATAATAATTAACGTGACTAATATAAAATGATAAGCGTGAGTAGTATAAATGGTAAACGTGAGTTTACCTTTTTTAATACATTAAAAGGAATAATTAATGTATTAAAAAAGGTAAGTTATACAATTGCAAGGCGTAAGTTTTTGATAAAGGTATGTTATAAAATTGCAAAGCGTAAGTTTTTTTAAAATTGGAAATAATTAAAAAAGGTAAGTTATACAATAATACTCCCAATTTCAAAAAAAAATAATAATTATGTTAAGAATAATTATACACCCAATTTCGAAAAACTTTAACCCTTCTTATTATAATAGCCTATTACAATTTTATATACTATAAACATAGTATTTTTTTCAGGCCAAGGTAGTAAGATTAATCACCGTGTGTTTTAATTCGGTGCTTCAACATCACCTTTTGTACGAAGATGAGGATCATAACCGCTTTAAAAAATGTTGATGAGAGGTCAAGACTATTGATGATGAAACTAAGAGCGGTAAGAGTTTATCACGTTCCTGCTCATTCTCGGGGGCCGAAATCATTGGATGTTATTTTTCACGACTCAGAGGTTAGTTCTACATTATTTTATATTTACATATAAATCTTTAAAAATATAAATTTGTAAAGCAGTGATGTTTTTTACCTTAAAATAATATAATTTCTATATTCTATTGTATCTCATTTTTATCATTGAAAAATGATTTGAATTTAATAACATAAAAATGACACGTGCAACGCACATGTGTGATACTAGTTTTAGAAAACAAGATGTGACAAGTCTATTTTATTTGATTAAATGGTCAACCAAAATGAGTAAACGAACAAAAGTCATCAAGAGGCTAAAATAGTAAGTGTGACATTCTTTTTGGGACGGAGGAAGTTCAAAAAAAGGATAGCCCCATCCCCGAGAACCCCCTCAGACCCGGCCGGACACCCGACTCACATAGCTCGAATACATGTAGTAGAGAATCAGGTTGCTACTGGATTGACATTCAAACACCTCATATTTTCAAAACAATTTAAAACATTCAATTCAAAAATATTATTTAAATATCCATTGGAGTTAACGAAACGGTGCAGAAGTTTAAATACTTAATTCAAAACACAACTTTAGGTTCTTGCCCGAAAAACGTTATAAATTCAAACACGAAAATCAATTAAATTTATTCATGTGCCTGCATCCACACGTCATCCCATCCATACTGCTCGCCAGGATTATTTTCTTATTCATTATTTTTGTTACCTATGTGTAGCAAGTAAAACAAACAACACGTTCAGCTTTCATGCTGAGTGAGAGGTTCTAACAGTAGAAGTCACACATAGGATTAATTCAACATACATTATCCTTCATAGCATTTCCTGCACAAGGAATATCACATGACAACATCAAATAGTATTAACAATATCACAGCACTTATTTTAATAATTTGATTCTCTATTTAACCAGTTATTAACTCAACATTCATGTTTTTACAATAGCTCATCTCCAACACTTGCTCATAACATATTCTAGGCTAAGGCTATTTTAACAACAACACAGACATAACACATTACAACACGACTTTACGAACAAAGGAGTTCTCTGCTAGAGGATGGTACCCATGTCCCCTTCGGAATGACAGTTTGAGGATTCTAAACGTACGTTTTAACCCGTAGCCATTAGATATAAGATTTTCAAGGCTGATTCCACCTATTGACATTTTGAATTTTTTTAGTCAACCATTTTCAACCTTTGACTTATAATTAAATAAAATATTTTTTGTATATTAATTAGATAAAATAATATTTTGAAAATATTTTATACAATAAATCTAATAAAACTATTTTTGTATCAATATCTAATATCATTTTAATTTAATTTAGGGTCAAAGTTTACTATTTTTGACCAAAAAACTCAAAAATGGACAAATACTCTGGGACAGAGGGAGTAGTTTTTTTGGGCCACAAGTAAATATTATTAAAATCCAAGTACAAAGAATACAAGATTAAAATGGGCATACCCGAGTCAACGCCAAAGTTCGTAGAGGTTGACACGCCAACAACGAACATAGCGGGCTTGCGTGCCATAACATAGCCAAAGATAGGCAGGCCAAACACAACAGGCCAAAATAAAAACAACACACACCTAGGCAATAATTAAACACTAAGGCACACAAGCCATAGACAGAAACCAAGGCTCACGAGCCCAGAAATCAATAACCAAGGCCCTCAGGCCATAGTCAAAACCCATTCCCGTAGTCGAGGTCAAAGACAAAGACCACGGCTTGCAAGCCCATAATTAAATAACATAGGCCCGCAAGATAGAATCATAACACAATCTCACAATCAAGAAGCAAAGTCCAAGTCAGGCGAAAACCAGCTCATAAGGTAATCCCAATCCTGAGACCAAAACCTTAGCGCACAGTCTAGAATCAAACCCCAACCGTGGATGACACAAGAATTAGAGACCCCGGCACAGAGATCAGAAACCAGAGTCAAGTCATACAGTCCAAAAACCAATGCAAAAGCTAATGCTCAAACAGACATAACATGCGAGCTCAGTCATAGCAGAATGTACATTTTCCAATTCACCATAAACACCGGCCCCAAGCATGTCAGAAAGCAGCACCGTGAGGCAAGCAAACCAATCAGAAGCAAGGAATCATAAACCAGTCAGCACCAATGTCCATAGAGGTTGAAAACCCAACCCTAGAAACTAAATTGCTAGACACACCAGTATTAACCAAGGCATGCAAGTTAGAATAAAACCAGACGGCCTCAATCAAGGCCTAATCACCATAATCCTGCACCAATGAAACCCAAACCCCAACAACAAACCAGCCAGGGCCAAAACCCACACACAACTCATTGAAGTGAGAGACATACTCAAAACCCATGTTCTAGTACATATTTAAATGATTTACATTATTTATAATATTGCTCTATATATCTAAAAGTTACTTAAAAATTAAACATGAAATTTTTAAAAACTTTAATATACTCGTATTTACTTTGATGTTTTGTTATAATTTTAATAAAAAAAGTAGAAGTGATACTGTGAATTTAAGAGTTCAAAAACTAAAGCTTATAACTTGTTGGTCAACCTAAATTTGATAACACTAGGTCGTGAATATGTAATTACAAATCTAAATTCATCTTGATTGACCAATTTGTGAGTTCTAATTGTCCAATCAACATTTAAACTATTCCATACTCCCTCAGTCTCATTTTATATGTCATGTTTTGGTTTACATTGTTTGACTGCAATTATTTTCAATTCAATTTATAAGACAATTGGGGTGAAATTAAAAAAAAACTTACATATTTAAAAACTACATCAAAAGCTTTACAAAACAAGTGGTGACATGACTATATTATTTTATCAAATGACTAGCAAAAATAGGTAAAGAAGTGAATAAAGTTTGACTTTTTGGCATGGATATTTTATGTCATGTTATTCGGGACAAATGGAGTATTTAGCTAAATTGAAGCAACACAATAAGGATATAAAAATATGGAATTTCTGAGAGCAATAGTGTCACTTGTTGAATTTCAAGTATTACGGAGATACGTAAAATTATGCATTTTTTTAAGTATTCATGTGAATTTTTTCCATAGGTATATTTTATCATGTGAGTAGCACATAAATTCCGTGGATCTAAAGTCCATGAGAGAAGCACTCTGAAAAAGAAATGTGTTCCTACCATCTTCTCGCTTGGAGCTATGGTCCATAGAGAATTGTGAAGGACTAGTATAGTTTACTTTGGTGTCATTCATTTTTCTACTTTCTCTGCAACTGTTAATGCTATTCCAATTTGTTATGCAGGTTTTAATCTACCACAAAGCCTTTCTAGTGCCATACACCGCATGTAACAGCACAGATCCCATTTCTGTCAAGGAAGTGGATGATCGTGCTTCTCAATATATCTCATCATCGGTTTTTTTGGCATGGCCAACAAACTGCCTAGGTAACAGCAAACTCCAGGGGGTGACATCAAATGATTGGAGACGGTTTAACGCAATTAAATGTTGTATAGGCAGAGGTGTATCGTAGTCAATTAAGAGAAGGCTAAAAGCAATACAGAGAAAGGGAAAACATAAATATTGGGGCATGTCTGGTGAGATAGCAGCAAAATTTCTTCTAAAGTGTCATGCGTAAAAATTGCCATATCTATACCCAACCTTATTTTCACATACTTTCTAGTCCCATCATTTTTTTTTCAGTTCACTCTCAACCAGAAAGAATAGTTCACTATAATTCTAATTACATTGAGGTTGATTAATATTTGCTGATGATGAAATTAGTTTACCTAAAAGACGTTGAAGCCTTTTAGCGCCAGCACCTGGTTTAAGCTCAGTGGGATTTCCAACCTTGGAGCAAGGAGGGTTACCGCCACACCAACCACCCGGGGTGAAGCTACCATTTCGCCTGTGAAGCAATACATCATCAATCTTATCCAATACAGGGTCGTTGTGTTTGAATTTTCGTGCAAAGGCAGCACAGCTTTCAACCATCTTCCCGGTATCATTCAGCGTTAGGGTGTGTGGGTGCTGCTTGGGCGGAATGTCCCAAGATATGTAGTGCATGTCACTGTTGACAACGGTTGGCACAAATTCCGGGGCATTGCATACCACAGTCTGAAAGTATCCTTCTGGAGAGGAGACAAAGTTTGTGTAGTACATGAGTAGTGTCCTTGGAAGATTATCCCAGCCCCATATGCAGTACTCCACAAATGCCCTTGAGAGGATCATCCAGGCTGAACCTGAAGAAAATTTGTATGCCTTACGTTTAGGAGGCCACGTTTTAAACATATACGGAGTAAAAATAGAATGGAGAGAATTGGGCATCAGTTTTTCATGGATCTTGATAACTGGGTTGAGAGACATTGTCTTAGTAAATACATAGTAGTTCTTAATACTCCACAATGTATCCAGTTTGTAGCGTGCACAAGGTTGGTGGAACTCAATTGCCCCTTTAAGAACTGATAAATAAATTGACAGATCCAACCAAGATGTAAAAAAATTACATCAAACATTTTAACTTTCAACAATTAGATCCATACACCTACATGGAGTAAAGAACAATTTTTTTAACACTAATAACTCTATTATAATTTTTCCATCATCTCCGTGGAGCCAAAAATTCACTATTTTTTGGCTTTAGGGTGTGATGGAATAAAGCAAAATGAATTTCTAAATTGTTTGAGCTTCTTTAATTAATGAAGTAGCAGTTAGTCAATCAATGCAACTTTCGACGCTGAGCCTCGGGTCTCTATGGAAACAGCCTCTACTTTCGAGTAGAGGTAAGGTTTGCGTACACACACCATCCCCATACCTTACTCTTGTGGGATTCAAGTGGGTTGTTGTTGTTGCAATAACTCTATTATAATGTAGTATTTGTTCATACATTCCCAACCCATTGAACACGTAAGGTTATTACCCCACTAGGGACCGAACCTATGACCCCCCATATGCGAGAGTCACCATCATGCCACAGAACCACAAGGTCTTTAGCAGTAAACAATAATTTTAATGTAGTCCTACAGAACTGACCTGTAAAGAGTCTAAATGCAGTGGGTAAATCTCTCTTTGGTGTGACCGGGAATATATCTGATTTTGTGTTCTGAAAGAGGCCAGGGTCTATAATCAAAGGCATTGCCCGCTGACTCCTGCAATGGTATGAACACAATAATATAGTAAGACAGAAGTCATTGTACTAACCCCCATAGCATAAGGTTACAGCAACAAAGAACATACTCTTTCCAGCCGAGATGGCTTGTATGCTCAATGAAGTTTAACTCTCGCTTCACATCAGAAAATGTGTGAAGAAGATCTGGCAAGAGAAAAAAAATTAGAAATCAAGGTCATCCCCCTAAACAAAAATACTTGTGAAATAGCAAGAGTTTCTGCATATAAAGAGAACTTGATAAAATTCTGTGAACGAAAAATGGAGCACCAACCATCTTGAGTTACAAGGGGATAGTCTGAAGCACTGAGGTTGATAAACCAATCCCAATCCGAGTGCCTCTTAAGAAGAACGGCACACGCATGAAGGGTATTAGCAACCATTGTGGGCCCTCTATAAGTAACCATATTTGCTTTGGTAATCATGTGAACATTCCCAACCTGGGTAAAAATAGGGTCTTTCTCTACTCTGGACGCAAGCTCTAGCCTCTCGATCGCTGGGGATTCTAGGTCTAGATGGACAACATAGTAGTTCCGTGGGTGGTACAGTGCTTGCAATGTCCTCCAAAGCTTCTCAAGATCACCTTTTGAACCAGATATTAGATAAGCAAAACGTGGAATGGAAGGACCACTGGGAGGAAGTTGAGATCGCTTAAGTTTTGCTTCAGCAAAATAAGAGCTTGTTTGATTCATCGCAACCCGAGATGGAAAGAGAGAGAAAATTGAATTGATTTTGTGTAACGAAGAAACGAGGCCCATATTGAACGAGGTTGCAAGAAGGAATACACAAATGAGTCCACTGATCACGAGAGGAAACAACCATTTCTTCTCCATGTTTGCAGACCCCATTGCAAAACCTGATCATGTGTTCTTCACTTCTTACAACAAAAATATTCAGATAACAATCACTTCTATTTTCACCCAAAACAATATCACATCAAACACATCCAGTACGGTAGTCCTAAAGGTCAACAGTTGCTGGTTCCTCCTGTCTTTGTACAGAGATCCTCGGCGAATGAATGGGTGTGATTGAGTTCTTCCTATTGAACCCCACAATTTGAAGTTTTTGTGTGTTAGGTTTTTGAATCACAAGTTGCAGTACAAAACTAATTCTATGGAGTAAGGACATTCATTTACAGGGGTGAAAGCTCAGTAAACAACTTGCTAGTCAATTGAGTAGGACAGATCAAAAATAAAATACAGTGTATATTAATTAAAAAAAACTAATATTTGAAGGGTGAAAGATAATACTGGATATGGATAAATGCTGCATCAAAAAAGTCAACAGGGCAGACGGATGGGTTTAAACAATTTTGACAAAGGCATTCTATACCTAATAAGCTGACATCTGTTAATCATCACATCACATTAATGACAAAGACAAGTTATTTACTTCATCCATTTTTCTAATTCTAAAAACGGAAATTGGATCAATTACTTGGGCATCAAAAATCAATCTATGGGATAAAAACCCAGATCTAAAATGTGATAAACGGGTCAACGTAGTATTACAATACTATTCTTTGATACTTGCATAAGATTGCCTCATTTTCAAAGGGGAAAATAAAAAATAAAAGAAACCCACACTTGAATAGGAAACAATATGGCGAATTTTACAAAAAAATTAAGAACATGGAGATTTTAGCTAAACTTTCACTACAGAAAACAGAAATCAGAAACTTTATGGACGGGGACTCTTCCCCAGCACACAAAAACACAGTAGTTTTCTTCAATCTTATTACTAGATCAATCCTTACCTGATTTAAGCATGAAAAAAAAAGAAGCTAAAGCTCAACATGTCCGTTTCCGTAACTTGAAAATTAAAGAAAACTACAGAACGGGTCACGGGGTTGGGTTGAAGAAAAAGAACCTTCGATTGTGGGCGTTGATATCCTAATAGGTGTGCCGCCCAGCGCCGAGTGAGGAAGAGAAAATCAGGTAGGTCGGTTGCTTACTCGCTATTAAGCATAGGGAGTACGTTTTCAGATTTCGTTTTCTGCAGATGATATGAAGAAGGGCTTCGTTATATAATACGGAGTATATATATACTCCCACACTCCTAATTTCATTAGGACCTCTTAAAAGATTGACTTTAAAAAATGATTCAATAATGAAGATGGTTGCTCTGGTATTCCTTGATAAAATTAATAATTTTTATTTCAAATTAACAATGAGGGTTCCAAAATTTCGCGACCAATCTCGTCTCATTTTTAATGTCAAAAGAACCTTGGTGAGTGTATATATGTATATGCTCAAATAAGAATGGTGCATAGTAAAACAAACAGTATGCATATGATCCATTAGATTAAAGATTTAAGGACTATTAAAAGTAAAAGTATCTAAAAAAATTGAAAAAATTGCGGTGGCAATTTTGTCAATAAATTAAACTTTCCGAAAATGCACTACTATAAGTACAAAATGCATCCCGACAGTCTGAAAATGCATCATTCTCATATTCTTGCAGTAAGGATATTCTCACCTGAATTAACTCATAGACTTTGGTTCAAATGAGAATGCATACAGTTCATTATATTTAAAAAAAAATTAAGAAAATCACTGATGGCCCCCTAAATGGTGAGGTACAAAGTCTAGAGGGAGGGTGAATAGACTTTGTTACAAATTAAAAAAATTCGTTCCTTTTGAAAATATGTTTTGATAAGAGATACTCCCTCCGTCCCACTGTCTTTGTACACTTACCTTTTGGCACACCATCCAATGCACTTCTTTAATCCATTTTATCTTGTAATTTGTATATTAAAAAATTATAGAAATTATATATTAATAATCTATATGTTAAGACGAATCAAACAAGATCACACATGACTATTTTTAGGCTTACACATTGAGAGAATTTGATGAGTCAAAGTGCTTAGATGAACAGTTCCAAAAGTCAAAAGTGGACAAAGACAGTGGGACGGAGGTAGTAATTGTTAATCTATAAGTTCTTGAGAACTTGGATTAAGTGTGCGGAAGTTGGAGGATTATTAGAGCAGTAATCAAGTACGGATCAGTTAGTTTCACAATGGAAAAAAATCACATAAAAATTATAGAGAGAGAAAGAGAGACGCAAACTTTTAACGAGGTTCGAAGGTGGGGAAATCCTTCTACGTCCTCAGAATCCACTAGGTAATTGGTTGTTGAAAGTGAACCAATAATTACAATAGTGAAAGCACGGTATATCTTCGCAAAGCAAATGTTGCTACTTCACACGTGTCGGCGATGTTGTTCCTTCGAAGATCAAACTTCTTCAACAACTGCAAGATCCGAACAATGGGACTTGCTAGATCAGTTTTTATGAAAACTGACGTACCTCGTTTTTAATCAAGAAGTTTGATTAAAAATTCCTTCAACTTGGTGTTGTACTTGAGGCAAGAGAACCTTCAAGTATTTTCACTTATAGCTCTTGGAAGAAGGAGAAGTTTGCTTCTGAATAAAAGAGTTTTTGAATTCTCTCTTTTCAAGCGTTGAGATTTTCTCTCTTAGGTTTTCTTGGTGTTAATCGATTGGTGAAGGTTTTTTTCCTCAATCTTACATAGGAGCTATATATAGGTGGCTGGATGGTTTAATCTATCCGTTGAAGGGAATAGATTAACCTTATGTTTGCTGGCCTCAATTTGAATGAAGAGAGCATGAAGATTGTCCTTGGAAATTTCTTCTTGGACATTAGATTTTTTTGTCATAGACTTTGTCTTCTAGCTTTTGTTTGAGAATTCTAGACTGTAGCTCTTTAATTGGAGAGTCCACACTTTGTCTTCTTGTCATTTGTTCTCGAATCAATTGAATTATCCTCAATCTAGCGGTTTGATTTTCAAGAAATTAATTTTTTCTTGGCAACGGAAAGAATTCCTTCAAACATGACTTAGATTAGTTTCTAAGTCCTTTTCCTCACTTGTGAATCGAGAGTTCCAATTCCCTAAATAACACCACATGTGTTTTTATTTCCAATGTAGCACTTTTAGTCATTATGCATTAGTTATTATTCAAGCAAATATTCGCCACCACTGGACATTATGGACATTATTAAGTGCTATTTAGGGAAATGACTTAATTTTTAGTGCTATTTAGTACAAAAAAACATGGAAAACTAATTTTCTCACCAACTTTCATCTTAACCAAACAAGATTAGGATTTTTAATTTCTTTCCCTTTTTTTTTTCTTTCCTTGCCATTTTTATTTCCTCTCTAATTCCTTGAACTAACAGTGTTGGTGATTTTAAAGGAAAGAGCTTGATAATTGGTAGCTACTATGGGAAAGCGAGCAGAAGTATCTTTAGACAAGCTAAGGACCCAAATGCCTCCATTGTGACTTACTGCATCAACCAAAGCCACCACTTTGTAACCCAGGTTTTGCCTAAATTCTCCCAACTTCTCGAATGCTCCATGAGTTTCACAAAGGATAACAACTGAAGGTTTGTAATTTAGCAGATCATCCCTAATCTATCTCTTCACCTGTCCTCCGGCGGCACCCGTCACCTTCCACATCAATATGTCAAAAGGCACTACTGAATCCATAAGGTAAATTAAAGGACGGATATGATGTGGGCAAGAGGAGCTACCCGCGTTGCGATGTGAGACTGAAGATGTTGGTCATTGCTGTTTGTACCTTTCTAATGGAGTGGATACTGAAGAGCAAATAGCAAATACTCCGTACCAATGTACCAAAAATATTGTGCGAAAAAACCAAAAAGAAGAAGAGAAAATAGCAAAACTAAATATGAATAGGCCATACAAACTTAAATACGAATTCTAACTGATAGACAAACTTAAGAATAACTTTGCTTCTTTAACTAATCCAAAGGTTTTTTTAAATACAGATCGATTTGAGTTGTAACATTTTATTAGAGATTTTTTTAGTGCAATATACTTGGCTTAAACTTTAGTAAAACTATAGTCCAAGTAATATGTTATGCTTGAAGTGCAAGCCAATAGACTTCCAATATATGCCACGATTTGTGATGTTTACTTCTCATAACATGAGTACCCAAACATAGGTGATAAAATATATAAAATATCGGTCACTTGCTCCTTAATTGGTTCACCATTACCTTGCTTGTACATCCTCTCCATGGAAAGTTTACCTTAGATGACACATTTAGTACAAAAAATATTCTTATTGGGTTTTGTCTTTGGTGGTATGCCTCTTCATGTTGGTCCTCCTCCTCACCTTTGGAATCAAGTTCTCCATAGAGCCTAATCTCCATGGCCCTCTTGTTGGTGCAGTCGCGAGCGTTGTGTCCAAGTCCAAGACACTTGAAGCACCTGATGTTATTTGATTTACCTTCCTTAGCCACGGGTATTGAACTCTTGAAATCGGTATGGCATTTAGGCTTGAACTCTTCTTTTCCCTTTCATGGCAAGTTGGTGGCCTAGCTCCTAAGCCTTCTTGCACTGTATCTTAGACTTTCCTTGATACAAACTAGAAAAAAATGAATAAGTTTCACAAATGATCTATATTTATGGTCTTCAATTTAGTCTTCAATTTTAAAATATTAGATAAACGATCACCAATTTTTGAAAACCACTCTCTCCGTACCAAATTAAATTTTTTGTTAACTAATCATAGGATCAAATTTTATTCACTTTCTTTTCTTATTTATGTTAGTCATTTGATAAAATAATGGAGTCATGTCACTACTAGTTTTGTAGATCTTTTGACGTACTTTTAAAATATGTAATTTTTATTTTTAAATACCGCCGTTTTTCATATAAAATGATTTAAAAATAACCTCAGTCAAACATAGTAAATTGAAGAGTAAATTCCATAATTGGTCCTTTATAACAGGGGGGTTTCCATATTTAGTCCTCTATTATCAAATATTACCCCCGTAGTCCTTTTTTTAAGGGTACCTTTCCATAAATGGTCCTTTTTTTGATATTCTGCCGTGTTGGTGTTAATTTAAATGCTAAAAGTATAATTTGACGTCAACATTATGTCTCGTGACGTGTTCTGATAACACAAAAATAATGACTATGATTGTGGGCTAGGATTCTGACGAAAGATCACATTTGTAGACTATAGTTGTCATAAAAAGCGACTGTAATTCACAAACGACGCAAACGGAACAGCCTTTGGAATTGTGTATGACAAAAAAGATATATTATCATTGTGAAATTACACTTTTAGCCCTCAAATTAACACCAACATGATAGAAGATCAAAAAAAGGACTATTTGTGGAAATGTACCCATAAAAGAAGGACCACTTGGGTAATATTTGATAATAGAGAACTAAATAGGGAAACCCCCATGTTATAAAGGACCAATTATAGAATTTACTCTAAATTGAAACAGACAATTTAAATTGGGATAGAGGAAGTATTCCATAACCGGTCCTTTAAAGACTATATGTGAAAAAATTGTCATATTTGACCTAAAAGACTATTTATAGAATTTTTTTTCAATTGAAGACTAAATATGAAAAACCACTTGTAATGAGGAACTATTTATGAAATGCACTCAAAAAAGATCATCAAAATGCAATTAGTGTTGTCTCTCAAATTCATTTCTAAGTGCAAGTCTATATTCCCCAACATATATACTTAGCTATAGCAGCCTCGGAGTTCTCCTTCATCCCTAGCTTCACAAAAATCTTTTGAAGCTCTAGGTTATACCCTTCTACAATTTGGCTTTTGGGTAAGTTCTAATTGGATGTCTAATTGGCTATGGAGCTCACGATAATGCCAAGGGACAAACTTCTTCATAAGGTTTTTCATCTCATACCATGTCTCTACGGTTTGGCCTACATTTCAAGTACGGAGTACTTTGTATATAATAGAGTTATACACAAAAGACTAGACCAAAATTATTGCCAATACACATACGTAAGTATAAAATGCTAGTATCTTTTTGGTCCTCAAGTAAAATGTCACATGGTAGTACGCTCAAGAACATCAATCTAACCAAATTCAGGTGAATGTCAAAACTCAAAATGAAAACAACAAAACAAGTTGTGTATGACCGCTGTTTGTGCTTGTGATATCCGTAAATGTTCAAACAAACAAAGAA